CAGACTTGCAAGGTTGAATTCGAGTCATGGTAGTGGGAGCGGGGAGGAAACATTTAGGAACTAGAGGAAAGTTGTATTTCTCATCATTGTTATATCGCACCCTGACTGGCTCATCTCCTCCCCGAGACCCCTCTGCAAGGGGATCTCCATATCCACTCTTTTGGAGTCATAAAATTCACCATCTACCTTGACTTCGTGAATTTACCTGTCATTATCAAGGTTGGCAGGGAGCCTTGGCAGTGGTTAAGCCCAGTGGTTAAGTGCTCAGCAGCTAATTATTAAGTTGTCAGTTTTATCCCAACAAGCACTCTGAGGGAAAAAATGCTTTGTGAAGATTAGTCTTGAAAAGTATGAGGTTCTACTTTGTCCTATCGAATTGTTGTGACTCTGAATCTACTTCATGGCAATGGGTTACAAGGATTATAAAGGCTGGCAGTTCGAAACCGGTATCGGAGAAAAGTTCTGGCCATCTGCTCCGGTGAAGGTGACCACATACAGTGAAGGTGACCACAGTCAGTTACTATGAATCAGAATAGACTCTGTGGCAACTAAAAACAAAAACAAAGTCAAGCTAGTCACTAAATACGATTAAGAATTGGAGATCAAATGACTGAATCTTGTTTAACAAGAATGACATTACTTGTTGCTGAGTTGGGGCTTTACGCAGAATAAGAGTATTCAATAAGTTTAAACCTTGACAATGATGAAGAAAGCCTTTTCGCTGACAGCGTATGATGTTTTAAGTGTTTTGCATACATTAGCTAATTAATCATAACTCCTTGGCTTCGGTGGTAGTGGTGCAAAGCTATGGAAGGTAAGCTCCTTGCCCCTTGAACAGGGCAGTGGGAGGGACGCGGCGAGGGCTTGCGGCGACATTACAGCCTCGAGTCTGACGTTTGCGCACACCAGCCTTGTTTTGGTGGCCCGTCATTGCGTCCACAGGGAATCAGGTCACGAAGCAGGGACGGGCGCACGTGCTCGCGGTGGGGACACGGCCCACGCGAAGCCCGAGTGCCTGACGCCTCCTCCCGCCGCGTCCAAGCGACTGGGCAGCGGTGGACGTGACGACGTGCTCTGGCCTCAGCACGTGCGGTTGAGAGCAGAGAGAGACGGACAGCAGCAGTCTCCTCCGGGCCGAAAGAAAGGCGTCTCCTTCCCGGACACCTCTGCGGAGGCGGGCTCCCCGCACTCCGCGGCCGAGGACGCCCCAGCAGCGCAGGCGTCCGGCTGCCCGGAGCTTCCCTCCGGCTCCGCGAGGCCCCGCCCCCGGCCGCCCGCGCGCCCCCAGCGTTCGCCCCGCCCCCTCGGCGACGTAGTGCGTGCCTCTTCCTTTTGCGACACAGCTGCCGGCCGGAGGTGGTCCAGCGGCGGGTCGCGTTGCGAGCTCGCGTGGGCAGCGGCGGGCCTCAGCTCGGGAGGAGCGCGCCGCGCGTCCTCGTCCCCTCTGGAGCGGCGGGCAGCGGAAGTGACGTGAGCTGGACCCGCAGCGCGTTTGAATCGGTTCCCGGGTGATCCTCGCGCCGCTGCCTGGCCGCCTCCGCCGAGGAGGGAGCTGCGTCCGTGCAGGCCGAGGCCTGGAGCCGCTGCGGGCGCTGGTGCGGGGGGCGCCGTGCTGGGCCCGCGCCTGGGCTCCGAGCGCGG